GTCAATGTTTTCGGAATGCATTTTCGGCCATACTTAATGTCTGTGTTGATTTTGTTGATGAAGTTCGTTGGGTAGTTGTTTTGCTTGAGAGTTTCAGTAATGTTTGATATTTCTTCTTCTTTTCTTGCTCATCCGTTATCAGAGTGTGCTCGTCTAAGAAGACCTGAAACAACTGAAATCTTTGCGCTGATGGGGTGTGATGATTTGAAGTCTAAATATTTATTGAAGAGGGTTTCCTCCCTAAATATGGATATACTAAAATGTCCGTCTTTTTTTCTCTTAACTAGGCAGTCTTGAAATGGTAGTTCGCCGATGTCTGATTCTGCTTCCGAAGTAAACTGGATTTTGGGAGATACACAGTTTATTTTCTCCAGGAATGAATTGTGTAGATCTCCTTTTAGTACTATAAAAGTATCATCCACATATCTTAACCATATTTTAGGAGTGAGTATGCTTGGAAAAATATTATTTTCGAATTTATTCATGTAAAGATCGGCGACTATTGGGGAGACTGGTGAACCCATAGCAACACCATTTGTCTGTCTATAAAAACTCCCTTCAAATGTAAAATAATTACTTTCTACACAGAATTTTTAGCTCTTAATTGTTTCACTGGTGTCCAGTGGACATCTTTGTGATAGTGTTGCATCTAATTCTAGTAGACTGGAAATGATATCAAGACTTTCGGTAGTAGGGATGCTAGTATATAGTGAGTTAATATCATAGCTTACCATAATGTCTTCTTTATTAATTTCTCGGTGTTCTATTTGGGATTTGAAATCATATGAATTTTTTACAATATTTTGAGCGTCCTTTTGTAGTGGTTGTAGTATCGAGAGTAAGTATTTAGAAAGGTTGTATGTTGGTGAGTTGGTGAAATCTATTACTGGTCTTAATGGAACTGTGGGTTTATGTATCTTTTAATCTAACATCCTTATGATATCTATATACATCAGAGCTAGAACACATGATGAGGTAGGTTAAGGTACATGATCCAGGTAAAATATAGGAGTGATTCGAAAGAGATGTTAGTAAGGGCCGAAGTATTTATACAAGCCCGTTTAAAAGATGCTGGCTGCTGGGTGTCCAAGGAATATGTCAAGCTAAGAAGTTCGAATTATTGTCTCATATCAGATACCTGTGGTGGTAATTCGTTATTTAATTTGCCAGCATCTGAGTAACGGTAATTGGTCTTAACGACGTCTAAAGTAGATGAGGATATGAATTATATTAGTGTATGTCTAATACTAAGGGAAATCCCTTTTCAATATCAACATGGTAGCAATGCATATACGGTGGTAGAAACATTTATGTAATTTGTGGCGGGTTTAAGATTGTGCTGCTTAGTTATACTCAATAATCTCACTTTCGAGTCCATCCACAAGTGAAACTGAGCACTCAACTTTTAGAAACTGATAGGAAAATTCAAATGCACCAGGAACTCATCTTAATTTCCTAATTTTACTGCGAGGATTGTTACAGCCAGTGTTATAATAACTTTAAAGGAAGAGACCTTTTTGCAGTTTCAGGCCAAAGTTCGAACCAAAACTAAACTGAATCAAATGGATTTATAATGAAACCAAAACTACTGATGGGACTACAAGATTTAGTGTCCCGTTTAAGTCAATTCATCAAATAATTATGTTACAAAACTCCATTTATGAGGTTATTCGGCATCCAAATAACAAGAACATAATGACTGGGCATAAAATGACTGTTAGTCAACAAAAGTGTCGATTCGAACAAAAGATATACAACAGTCCAGTGGGACTTAAGTGGTCTAACAAGAAGAGAAATATGAATGGTAGCAAGGACTTTCTTTCTTACTTATATGTAATCCCCAGGAAGACAATTTCATCACTTCTAGGTGGTAAGAAATTTGAAACCCACAGCTTTGGATACATTAGCTATAATCTATAGCAAATATAGCCTATTATTTTTTTCTTTTAACAGCTTAGGCATTCTGTTGAGAAAATGATTTTCTGCTGGGCGTAAAATCTAGTCGGCTTATAGGAAGTCGTAGTTGCTGTACTCCTCATAGAAATCTCTAGGTGGAGGCTGGATAATCAGGTAGCAACAAAATGTCTAAATGAACTATCCCTCCTGGTCTCAGTGAGATACGACCCTCAACTACCGTACTGTATCAATGGATCTCAGCTAAACTTGTTCCTGGCCGTCACTTAGTGTCTCTTCAGAGTACTTTACCTGTTCATTTACTTTCAACCATCACTTTAAATGGTCTCTTTATTCGTTCGTTCTCCTCTTCGAGTTGACATATTTATATATAGTCACCTAGCTTTTCAGCCCCACCGAATGACTAAAGGGTGAAAACCACACTGTAGTCTCAGCACACTGTTAACCAAGAATCTTATGCAGATGTAGTTTCTGCTTGGTCACTCGCCCTTCCAACCCATCACCCACTAACTGTCCCTGAAAGACTAAAGCATTTTGTGTGGAAGATATCCTGTAAGATGAAACTGACCTTCTACATCACACAACTCTGAGTCCATCAAAGTTGAAACAAGTGGTTGGAGGGACAAACTGCACAAAACCTTATCTTATAGACAAAGAGCTAGGTCAAAGAAAAAAGTAAAAGCATATTGGATGTTGGATCATGGCTAACAAGGGGGACACAACGCCTTCTGCAGGCAAAGCGTAAAGCCTGGTTTGCGTGGCGACGATCGAAGAGTCAACCCGAACATGAAGTGTACCTTGAACTCAGGAATCGATGTAACATACGAGTCCGGAGCGATAGAAGGACATTTCAGGGAGACCTCGCCAATAAGCTTCTCGTGAACCCCAAAAGCCTATACAGGTTTATGGCCGAAAGAAAACCGACCAACCAGGGAGCATGCAATCTAGTGGGTTCTGATGGGAAATCTCTTACTAGTCTTGAAATGGCAGAGACATTCAGCCTAGCCTTTCACAGGCAACTAAACAGTAACGAGGATATTACCCCCACAGAACATCCAGATTACATCGCAAAACCAACACGCGAAAACCTCCTGGGTACATTTCAAATTACCCCGGCTATGGTACTTGCAAAATTGGGAAGGTTGGCTTCGGGAAAGTCTTCAGGTTGTGATGACATCAGACCATCTGTCCTGAAGCAGTGTTCAGAAAGTCTCTGCCAACCCCTAAGCGATCTGTTCCAACACTCCCTTGATGTAGGGAAACTTCCATGTGAATGGAAACGAGTAATCCTATCCCCTATCTTCAAGGGTGGTAACCGGCAGAATGTGACCAGTTACAGACCAGTTGCTCTACTTCCAGTGATATCGAAGATATTGGAAAGTCTCATTGACGACCATATGAGAAAATACTTCGATGGGACTAACCTTCTTCACGAAGCACAGCACGGTTTTAGGAGGGGAAGATCCTGCGTGACGAATCTTCTACTAGCTTGGAACGATTGGACACTATCCTGGGACAAAAAGGTACCAGCCCACGTGATCTTTCTCGACTTTGCGAAAGCATTCGACACAGTTCACCATGGTCTGCTCCTTCACAAAATAAGCAAGGCGGGTGTTTCTGGAGCACTTCTCGCATGGCTGACAGATTACTTAGGCGAGAGAGAATTCTGCACCAAAGTCAACCGCATCCGATCATCCTGGCACACCTCGGCATCAGGGGTTCCTCAGGGTTCTATCCTAGGGCCGTTGATGTTTTTGATTTTTATCAACGACCTGCCCTCCCAACTAAACTGCTCTGCGCTTCTTTACGCTGACGACGTAAAGATTTGGAGAGCAATAAACTCATCGGAAGACTCAGACAGATTGCAGGCTGACCTGCAAACTCTGGGAAACTGGGCTCTGGCTAACGGAATGCCTTTCAACCTAAAGAAGTGCAAAGTAGTGCAACTTCATTCGGGCAGGTCACAGAGTGTAAATTACACCCTTGGTGGCCAGAACTTGAGTTGTGTTCAATCAGAGCGAGACCTAGGTCTTATTCTAACAGAAAAGCTAGACACCAGTAGAAATTACTCGAGGGACGTCGCCAAAGCCTACGCAACTTTACACTTTATGCATAGGCAGCTGGGAGCTCTCACTCCCGAACTGTTCTTAAGGCTATGTAAGGCATATGTGAGGCCACACCTTGAGGTGCATAATATCATTGCACCTCCGCTACTCAAAAGGGATGCTAACATTCTAGAAAGTGTCCAGAGACGAGCGACAAAATGGGTGATCGGCCTCCGCAACAAATCATATGAGGAAAGACTAAAGAAATTAGGTCTTTTCACACTTAGTTACCGAAGGCACAGGGGAGACCTCATCACCGTCTACCAAATCCTAAATGACCAGGCCCACCCAAATAAAAGCATCCTGCCATTAAGTGACTATAGGCTTCCACGAGGTAACCCGCTAAGGATAGCACACCAGAGACCAAAGACTCGAGTGCGATCACATTTCTTTTCGCTTCGTGTTTGCCGTCTCTGGAACGCTTTACCGGCGGCCGTGACTACAGCGCCTTCTCTGGAGATTTTTAAGCGGAAGCTAGACAATCATGCAGAAATGCAAGGTTTGTGTCTCAATGGCTTATCCCCATAAAACTTGAAACCACACTGTCAATGATAAGCGTACAAACTAAATCCCCGCGACCTATTCTGCCTTCTCTCACTCTATCTTTTCCTTAGGTCACCTTTATTATTCCACTTATCTCAACCTATATTATCTACACTACAACCCATTATTTTTATTCTTCTTATTATTACTACTATTCTGCTTTTATGACTACACCGAATGACCAAGGGAGTTAGGTCAAACTCCATTCACGGCAGCAATACAGTCCTAACATACTGCATACTACAAACCACATCTCGACCAATCCCCGCACCACTCCTCCTGGAGTCTACCAGAGCTAAAGCAGTCGAGTGACGGGACTTACTACGCAGAAGCTCACCGAAGATCTGGAACCTCTACCTCACAATCAAGAAGCGAGCTCAAAGAAATCACTGGTTTATACTAGCTCGTAATCAGGATATTGGATATTGGAGATTCAGAGTTGCTTGACCTTGAGAACTATTTGAAGAGTTCCCAAATAAAGCTTCATGGAACGGACTGTGAAGTTGCAGTATACCTTATCTTAGAAATGTCTAGATGTAATAGTAAAGTGACTCTCACCAGATGTCAGAAGTTCTTCAGCTGGTTCCCGGTTGTCTTTATTCTCTTGATAGTTGGATGGTCATATTATGCGTACGTATATTCCCTATGCATAGGTAATTCAATTGATTTGTAATTTTCCCGCCACTTTAGTCCAAGTCACCTCTGTATCAGCGAAAGGTAAATTGTGGGAAAAAAAATTTATTTTCAGTATGTTATCTCGTATTCTTTCATCTGTTTCTCTTGATGTTTTGTTGGTCCTATGTGAAAGCTATCGTGACCCCTCCTATAAGACCCCCTAAACAAGTGAGCTCCTTTATCTGATTTAAAATGTTTAGTTCCTAATCTTAACACTGCTCTATTATCTGTAATTCCGTAGGTCGTGTATGATGGAGATATGTATGTTACTTAAGTGGGTTTATTATGTTATTGAAGTCAGTCATACTCCTCTGCTAGCAAATAACGTGACTAAGAGTGAACCACACTTATAATGCAGTCAGTCTCAATAATTTTTTATCCGGTAAACCAAGTTTGGTTTCTGTACATTAGTGACTTTTGGTGGACTTGAAGAATAGTAATCACCATAAAACGGTAATATGAATGCGGTTGACTAATACCACTGGTTCTTCATACCAATTAGTCCTTCAAGCCAAAAAAGGGGTTGAAGATGACTCATTTTTAAATTTTATGGGAGTATGTCCTACTAATGACTTTAAGTTTCCTCAGTGTTCATTGAACATCACTTACTTATTTGTTAATAAATTATCCTTCCCTTATTTAGGCGTTATGTTTGTGTTTAGCTCTTTAAATCTCTGTTACTCTCTGATTACAAATAAACACGTGAAACTCAGTGCATAGGGTAGTGAGTTGTTAAATGTCTATTTGGAATAGCGAAAGACGAAACTATGAAACAACACTTGTCAGGAAAAGTATTGAATCTGGCTCTTTGGTCTAAACATCTAATGAGTGAGTTAGGAGTTTAAATCCACTTTGGGTCCAGCTGTGTTTCATCACTGGAGTATCATTAACAATCTCCATACGTGAGAGCTTATTTTATATAATCAGTCATGTGGAGGCAAAGCAAGCTGGGCTTATCTTTAACTGGGGATCAGACTCCTCTTGAGTTTGAAACAATCCTGGGTGTTCTAGAATTAAATAGTGCATTATATTCCTTAAGGATAGCGACGGTTGTCTAAGAATGGCAACCCAAAATGGTGCGAATCGTTAGCTGAGGCGTTTTAGTAGAACATGATATTTCAAAGCTTGTACTATCTCATCTCCAATAAGAGGATAGCTTTTCATGATAATCACTTTGAATTATATTTATTACCCTTAGTGAGATTTCTGGTTTTATTATAATCTAAAGCCTTATTTATACTAGGTCTGGATTTTCACTAATGGCCTAATGTATATAAAATTCGACATTTGTTGTTCACTAGCTCATAGATCTAACTAATCCTATGTGCTTATATAACAACTTTTGGCTTTGTAAGTCGAAAGGTTTATCTATTATGTAGGTATGGGACAAGTAAGTTGTGTAGCTGGAGGTGCTAAATTTGAATAGAGATAGGTAGTCTATCGCAAAAACTCACCTCTTCAAGTTACAAGGGTTCCTCACTGAAAAGAAAAAAAGGGAACTATTATTTTAGGATTAGCTTGTATCAATTCCACGTAAAAACCAAAAACGATGTTCGGACACTAGGTGACATGACTCAACGTCGCCTACGGTAAAATCGTGTACCCTCTTTTTGTCTTGTTTTGCTTAATGGTTTCCTGAAGTTTCGGTTTACATTAAATGCATTTCTTTGACATATCATTTAGTACTCCCTAACTGAGATAGTGTGAAATGACAAATCTTATGCTTATACTGCCGATGATTCCCAAACTAGGATGAAACAGCAGCTGTCCAGTACTCCCTGGTTTTTAATGGTTCTCTGATATCAATCCGTGATCAACTCGTAAAACATAACTAATCCTTACAAACCAAACTATACAATAATTTGTCGATTGTATGTTTGCATATCTGATTCCCTTCGACCTGGGTAACTGAATATTCTTTTAAGCTGTTACATAAAGTGTTGCTCAACCTAGGTTCTAGATATGTATTGGGTCGTTGGAATTAGCAGAAGCGTATGTCTGTACTCATTGTTGCAGGTGGCGAACCATAAGTAGTCAAGATGTTCGTGTGTGTAGGTAGTCGCGTATGCTGGCACAGGTCTGATAGATGAGATTTCTAATGGTATACTGAAGATCGAAGCAGCATATGCTGGCATTGTTGCGTCAGTTTGGGTGTCAAGCGTTGAGTTCACAATGTTTGAGCGCTGGCCGTCTTATTCTAAACCTGTGAAACTCGGCCTGTTCAGGTTGAGTGTGTTTGACGACTCTGCTTGATTTATCATATATGTCTCTGGAGTTTTTTTTGCCCCAAAACCAAGTGTCCATAATTAAGTTTCATTATTTTGAGGTTTCTTTTTCCCAATGAATAAACAATGATCGGATTGTTTTTTAATGTTTAAGTCATTCATGTCGACTAAATTTTAATATTTGTTAGTCATAACAATGTAATTAGTTTAACTTTACTGTCCAAAACGATTGTTCGTTGGTGTACTAGTAAAGACAGCTTTGTTAGGGTTTTTGTTAGATACCAATTTCTATCTCTTAGTACCATCATGAATGTTTTTAGGTGGTGGTTTTCGACTGAACAGTTTTTATTCTTATGTTTCTAAGGTAATTACAGATGTGATTTAATTTTTTTAAACTAGTTTCATTTAACCAGTAGTGAATGGGAGACATTGAATAACACAGCTGGAACGGGTGTTAATGGCAATGTAATACTAGAGACAATAGTATCAGATCGTAATCTTCCAGTTTATCTTGCTGGCCCAGACGGAGGAATTCGTATATGCAATATATGTGCATTAATCAAACCTGATCGAGCTCATCACTGTTCTGCTTGTGGATTGTAAGTTCTCTAGCAGATAACACTGATTTCATATGCATTTTAGCTTTTAATCAGCGTCTAATTTTTATTCAGTGGATGTTATATTAGATGCAAACCAATAACAGTTGATTTCCTGTTTGTGAAACTTCATAAGGCATTCCAGTTGCACAGACTATTGTTTTCGTTGGTTGTGTTTTTCGTCTGTCTGTCTGTCTGTTTCCGACATAGAACTTTGCACAAATGTGCGGAAGTTCAAGTCGCCACACTCCGTGTAGCACGCGAAGCAAGAGAAGAAAGTACAAGAAAAGCATAATCTGAACAGTGAGCAGAGGTGTGAGACAAAGGAGTAATAAGGAAAAACAAAACAGTTTCACTGGAGATCATAAGTCACAAGGAGTGGATGCATCTGCGCCACTGAGAACGATTTTGAGCCATGTCACCAATTGTTTCCAACCATAGATTTTTACCGTCCCGAGGACCCCAGCCTGGAAGTCTACACCTTCCTACGTGGCTTAGACCAACTGTTGTGGATTTCATTGACTGGTGCCATGTTTTTGTTTGACCGCCGCTAGCTTTTTTCCAGCCTGAACCTATATCCGCTAACATTGCTCGTCGAGGGAGGCGATGGCTTGGCATACGTAACACATGTCCCAACCATCTCAGTCTTTGTAACTTCACGACTTCGTCGATTGATTTCCCCTGTTTACCTAGAACTACAAGGCTAACCTCAATGTTGCTCACCTTATTATGCCACTTTACACGGGAAATAGAGCGCGGGCACCTATGATCAAAGACAGCTAGTCTCTTCATGTCTTCCACTCTCAGTGGCCAGGTCTCACAACCATAAAGGAGGACGGAGCGGACTGATGAGCAATACACCCGCCCTTTGGTCGATAGCCGAACATCTCGTCCACGCCAGAGTCGGCGTAAACTGGTAAATGCGAAGCGAGCCCCCTGTATTCGTGCTGAGATTTCGTCAGAGATCAACCAAAAGTGGGCTATAATGGCAGTTTTGATGATCCCCCTTTTGCCGAAAACTTAACATTCTTCTGAATCGACCCGATTCGTCCCCACAAGCTCAATACACGACTGTGTATATGAATAACAAATATGATAATAAGGCTACTTTGGTGACTTGATGATTTTTGTGTACAGCTTACTGTTATGTTCTCATATAATATAAATAATCCACCTTTTCTCTTCTCGCTCTAGGTGTTTGCTAAAAATGGATCACCACTGTCCTTGGTAAGTATCCTCTAAAAATATAAAATGTATAAATATAAATAAATATATAGAAATAAATATATATAAATAAAAATATATAAAATAATATAACTGTATAACACTGTGACTTATCAAAATAAAATCTTATCCATAATGGAGTTATCCTCTAAAAATAGGTTTTTAGTGTCAGAATAATATTTTCAGCTTTTATTTCAATATTGTAACCATTCAAGTAAGAGACGTTTTATGTTTCTGATTTTCATTAATGATTTTACTCATTCGGTGTATATTTAAAACTGAAATAATGAATTTCATGCACCGGGTCATTAGATGTATTTAAATGGCTCAGACAAATATATTTGCGGGATAAAAAAGCTCAAGTATATTTCATGAACTTTTTATATGGTAGCTTGTATGCAGAAAACCTTTGGTTCTCCCATCGATTTGGTCAGTAGCATTTATTTGTGAATTATTATTATTATTAATCATTCTTTGCTTTCCATGTAGAATATAGGGCTTCAGCAGCACATCTATATTACAGTAGATTCTCTACTATCACTTTCAACTGGGTCCACGACTGTCCCAAATGTTTCATTTCCTTTTCGTAAGATTTTATCCATCTCACCCCAGGGCTCTCAGCATGCCGTTTCCCATTCAGAGGGAGATGTAGTTTATTTGCTAAAGCAGTTGACTTTCAGTCAAAGGGTCCCGGGTTTGAGTTTCGCTCCTCCTGCTTCAGCTTGGGCACTGAGTAGTATCACTAGCTCCTACACAATAAGTGTGGCTTAAAAACAAGTGCTGAGTAGTTGAGATCTTATCAAGATTCGGGTGCCTGGTTCATGTTACTCAACGGTCCTCTAAGTGTGTCGAACACATCTCTATTTCTTTCTGCATACTTGCTAGACGATAGGCTGGCCCGCTGCCTATCAGAGTTCTTTGCTGTGTATCCTCTTCGCATTGCCATCCAATCTGCAGTACCTGGCGAAATAGGTGCTGATGGAAGTCCTGAGGCCGTTGGAAATACTTTCGGTGTGGGTCGTCCCACCTGGAAGCACTGACTGATGTTGTTGAAGAGTATTTAAATAATGCTCCTTGTGCTAAGTGATTGCTACAGATCTCTAGACTGATTTCAGAATAATGAATACCTGTCTCGCTTTTCCCATCCGATCTTGTCTATCTGCCTTTAACATTCTCTTTGGTGTCATTTGCCTGTATTTAAAAGTGTACCGTATATGCTAAGTGAGATTTAGATTTCTCTCATTGACCTACTAACTAAATGTTTTCAGCATAGTACTTTGCACCAATGTATTTTATATTATTATTGTTCCCTTGGGTTCCTAGGGGAACATAGGGCTTCAACTGCACGTCTCCACTTGCTTCTGTCTTCTGCTGTACTTTTCCCCTGCATCCATGTTAGTCCATACTGTTTCAACTCCTTTTCACACGATCTCCTCCATGTTACCCTTGGATATCCCACTCGCCGCTTCTCTTTCGGGTTCCACTCGAGGGCTTGACGCGCGATGTCACCCAGAGGTCTCCTCAGCGAGTGTCCAATCCATCTCCACTTTCTCCTGCATATTTGTTGGGCGATTGATTCTTGTTTTGTTTCTTCCCATAGTTCCTTGTTGGTGATTCTTTCCGGCCATCTGATCTTCAGTATAGAGCGAAGACAGTTGTTGATGAAGGTCTGAAACCTGTTGGAAATATTCTTTATGACCCGCCCGCCAACTTTTTGATCCGTATAGAAGAACTGACTTGAAGTTTGTATTGGAAATTCGAACTTTGTTGTTGATGCTGAGTGACGCTGAATTGGCAACAACCGGTGGTGTCCGACAGGGATGTCCACTTTCCCCATTCCTGTTTAACTTCATCATAGATATCCTGATGGAAGTATCCCTAACTGAACGTAACGACTTAGGAATCGACTTGTTACCAGGGAATAGTCTTATGGACTTAGAATATGCATATGACATAGTCCTGTTAGGGGAAGATGCTGACGAAATGCAGAGTCTTCTGAACACCTTGAGCAGCAATCTCCGTATGTTTGGCATGCGATTCGCCCCTACAAAATGTAAGATGCTGCTACATGACTGGACCACGTCAACTCCTAGCTTAGTGATAGGGAGTGAAGTGATAGAACATGTTGACCACTTCACCTATTTGGGAAGTTGTATTAGCACCAACGGACTGATTGGCGATGAAATCTCAGCAAGGATCCAAAAAGCTCGAGCTGCTTTCGCTGACTTACACCATCTCTGGCGTAGGCGTGACATCCGGTTATCAACCAAGGGACGTGTGTACTGCTCACCAGTTCGCTCCGTCCTTGTCTATGGCTCTGAAACATGGCCGATACGAGTTGAAGACATGAAAAGGTTGACTGCTTTCGATCATAGATGTCTGCGATCCCTGTCTCACGTTAGGTGATTTAACAAGGTAAGTAATGTTGACGTTAGGCGTAGAGTGTTGGGCAAAGAGGGTAAATCAATCGACGAGGCTATAAAGTTGCATAGATTGAAATGGCTAGGTCACGTGCTGCGCATGCCTAACCATTGCCTCCCCCGACGGACATTACTAGCTGATATAGGTGCAGGTTGGAAAAGAGTAAGTGGTGACCAAACAAAAACATGGCATCAATCCATGAAATCCTTGAAAGTTAAACTGAGTCAGGTAGGGAAATGCAGACTCCCGGGTTGGGGCCCTCGGGACTCTAGGAATCAATGGCTGGAGACAATAGGTGACATGGCTCAAAATCGTTGTCAATGGCGCAGATGTATTCAGTCTCTGTAATCTTTCATATTCCTTTCTACCATTACCCATTCTGTTTCACTCTTATACTTGTCGAACTGTTTTGATTCTCTTCACTCATCTTCTTGTCTACCTCTGTGTGCTATTTGGAACGTGGCAACTCGAACTGCTGCACTTCGGTGACAAGTTCTATGTTGAATCCAGACAGACAGACAGTCTCCAGTGCGTCCTTTAATCTCTCCAGCATGATGCGACTCAGGATCGTGCTTTGCGTTGATAGGAGCATGATTCCTCGCCAGTTGTTGCAGAGTCCGAAGTCTCCCTTCTTTGGTAGTTTCACGAGGTAACTTTTCATCCAGTCAGTCGGCACTTTTCTCTCCTTCCAGACCTTTTGCAATAATGGAGTCAGCGTGTCTGCTGTAGTGTCTGGGTCCACTTTCAGTGCTTCAGGGGGTATTCCATCTGGTCCAGCTGCTTTTCCAGCTTTCAGAAGCTTGATTACGTTCAAGACTTCAGCTCTCGTTGGAGGATTGGTGTCAACTTGCAGTTGTTTACGTGCTGTTGTTGGTATTTCTGGACGGGTTGCAGGTGATGGTCGGTTCAAGAGTCCTTTAAAGTGATCCGCCCATTGTTTAATCTGTTTTTCTTCCTTGGCAATTGGGTTCCCTTGGCTGTCTTTTATAGGTTTCGCTTGTGTTGATCTCTTCCCGGATAGAGATTTGGTTATCTGATATAGTGTCCTCAGGTCCCTTTTGCCTGCTGCATTCTCAGCTTCAGTGGCGAGGTTGTCGTAGAATCGTCTTTTGTCCTTCCTAGCACTTTTCTTCACTTCTTTGTCCAGTGCTTTGTAAGTTGAGCTCAGCATCTCCTTCTCCTGTCCGTCCCTGCATTGAATCATTTTCTCTTTCACCATTCTCCTCTCTTCTATTAGTTTCCAAGTGTCCGTTGAGAGCCATTCCTTGTATTGTCTCTTCTTTCTTCCTAGAACCGTTGAACACGTTTCGTTGACAATCGCCTTCAGAGACTTTCGATGTTCTTCCACGCATGATTCTTCAGTGATGTCGCGTAGTGTTTCCTGCTTTCCTCTGACAGTTGCAGTGAACGTGTCTTTTGTGGTTGTGTCTTTCAGTAATTGAGTATTGAACTTGCATTGTGGCCTATCCCCAGCTATCCTCGAGGCTTTTAGCTTTACCTTGAAAGTCCCTTGTACTAGATAGTGGTCTGAACCCACATCTGCTCCTCTCCTAGACCTTGTGTCCAGTAGGCTCTGTTTCCACTTTCCTGAAATTGAGATGAAGTCTATTTGGTTTTCTTGCACCGATGTGCATCAGTTCAAGTCGCCACACTCTGTGCAGCACACAAACCCGGAGACGACAGTAGAAGAAATGCAAATAGAGACAGTCAACAAGGATATGAAGCAAAAAGAATAGTAATATCAAAAAACTATATAGTTTTATTGGGTATTGGCATCTGCGCCAGCCATTAAGAACGACTTTGAGGCATATCACCAGCCATTGGTTTTTTCTATCCCGAGGAGCCCAACCAGAAAGTCTACACCTTCCTACGTGGCTTAAACTAACTGTCATCGGTTTCATTGACTGATGCCATGTTTTGGTTTGACCACCACTAGCTCTTTTCTAGCCTGACCCTATGTCAGCTAAGATTTCCCGTCGAGGGAAGCGATGGCTGGGCATACGTAACACATGTCCTAACCATCTCAGTCGATGTAGCTTCACGGCCTCGTTTATTGATTTCCCCCTCCTTACCCAGCATTCGACGCCTAACATCAATATTTCTCACCTTATTACACTACCTAACACGGGAGGTAGAACGCAGGCACCTATGATCAAAGACAGCTAGCCTTTCATTTCTTCCACTCTCAATGGCCAGATCTCACTCACAGCCATAAGGGAAGACAGAGAGGACTGTTGAGCAGTACACACGTCCTTTGGTCGATAGCCGGATATCACGTTTACGCCAGAGACGGCGTAAACTGGCATATGCGAAACGAGCCTTATGTATCCGTGCTGAGATTTCGTCGGCGATCAATCCGTTGGGGCTGATGCAACTTCCCAAATAAGTGAAGCGGTCAACGTGCCTACCACTTTACTCCCTATTTCTAAGCTAGAACTTGGCGTAGTCAAGTCCTGTAACATCATCTTACATTTGGTGGGAGCGAGTCGAATGCCAAACATTCGAAGATTGCATCTCGAGGCGTTGAGAAGACTCTGCTCGGTTTTGTCAGCGTCTTCACCTAGAAGGAGTATGCCATCTGCATATTCAAAGTCAACGAGATTATATCCTGGTAACAAGTCAATCCCTGAATCGTTGAAGTGAGTTAGGAATGGGGATAGTGGGCATCCCTGACGAACATCACTAGTTGTGACCACTTCAGATGACAACTCGCCGTAAGCCCTCACCTGGATGCATGAGTTCGAGTAGAGTGCCTTGATCAGTGCAATGTATCCCTTTACAGCCAAGCATCGCCATAGTACCTCTCGGTCGACAGAATCGAATGCCGCCTTTAGGTCAAGCAATATGACGATTGTTAGACGCCGGTAAGTATGCCTATGTTCCAGAATCTGTCGAAGGGTGAAGATATGATCAGTAAACCCTTTCCCTGGTCTAAAGCCTGCCTGGTTCTCTCATGTTTGTTCCTCCCGAACACCGCTTTGTCTACGTATTATTGTTGAGCCAAGAACTTTGGATACCATATAAGTCAAGCTAATCCCCCCGTGGTTGTCACAAGAAGACTTGCCTTCCTTCTTGTATGTCGAGACCTCCTCTGATTACCAGACACTGCCTAGTACCTTAGTTAACACAGACTGTAAACTGTCTCCACCGTAATTAAATACCTCTGGAGCCATTCCATCAGGTCCTGCTGCTCTGTCTCGTTTCAGACTAGTGACAGCCTTAGTAACCTCAATTAGGGACGGTGGACCTGTATTTATATCCCATTCCGAGGGGGGGGAGGTGTTGGATGTTTGTTAATTTGAGCGTGGCTGTAGACCGATTAAACTGCTTCTTAAAGTGTTCTTTCCAGCGTTCCAGTCGTCTGTCCTGGTGCGTCGGTGGCACAGTGGTTAGGACTCTCGCTGACCATGCACATGGTCCGAGCTTCGATCCCCTGCCGACGAACACCTGATATCTATGGTCGGCCTGCGAAATTTGGGCTACCGATATCCATTCTGAAAATTCCATACTTGTACGAAAGTACGGTGTGGAATCCAGCTGAAATCAAAAGAAAAATTTCTCAGAGATTGTTTCACTTATCGTCTGCCTTTTACCACCTGTTTCCCTGGTGAGCCTAAACAGTTGTTTGGTGTTACCGATCGCCGATGCCTTTTCCATCTTTTTTGCTTTTGTCGCCCACCACTGTTCACGATCGTTGCGATGATGATTATCTGAACAGAACTGTAGAATACGATCATCGTTGTCGTTTCTTCGACAGGGAATTCCATATGTACCACCTACATCTCAGTTTAGCACAACTTCCCTACTTAGGCATTGAAATCGCCTGCTAAAACAACTATATCTCAAAGTTTTGCTTTATGCAGCAAATTAGGCAGTTTCAGGTAGAAATCATCGTTTAGTTCATCCGAACTGCAGTCTGTTGGGGTGTAAGTGGAGACTACGAAAAGACAACGACTGGTAATGCCGTCCTTGCTTCTTCTAACGGACCCGTTCAGACAGACCGCATACATACGACTACCAAGTGGGATTCAGTCAAGAAGTGATTTTTCCGCTCTAACACTCAATGCTATCCCCACACCTGCGAGTCCTCGCGAACTACCTGAGGGGTCTCTTGACACCCTTAAAGTAAATTTTTCAGATTCACCTTGTTGGTCTAGTGAGGTTAAGTGAATGACCACACTCGGGTCTTGTATGCATGTCTCTGAAACACAACATACATCCATGGCTCGAGATATCAGAGTTGTGGCTAGTGATGCCTGTTGTCTGATTTGGCAGAGGGTCCTGACGTTGGAAGCTCCTATTTGGCGACATGGCTTTAAGGGGCTTTCGGGGGTGTCTCTATGGCTCTCATCGTTGTTTGTGGTCACAAACTGAAGTGAAGATGACTCACCAGCCTGAAGAATAGTACTGACTGTAGTAGGAAGGTAAGATGGTGAAGCTGATATGGGTAAAGAAGAATGATGCTCAGGAAGGCTTCGTGTGCTCTTGGAAGTGTGCGGGTGGTTGTTACTTCCCGGCTGCCCACACCGTGGAAGTTGAATGATTCTTCGAGTACCTGAAACAGAAAGAAGGTTGAAATTGCGTGACCACAGAGCCCGGGGGACAACTGCTTGAGGCCGGTCACACATGGCCTGTTTGAACTGGCGTCTTGGTCTGGTTCCGTATTAGTAACTTACCGCCGGTTACGGACCACCATAGGGTAAGTTAGGATGTACAATTGTTGGGGTCGACCTTTTCTAATCCCCTCTCTCCATAGTAGAGAAACAGCATAACTGGCATGCTGGTCATCTGAGGGAAACACCTTACTTCTGTTACATCCCTGTTCCCCAACAGTACGACTTCGCCCACATACACCCAGCATAATGTAAAAAAATAAATTCTTACACTATGCCGGCAACTGGTTTTAGTCTAATCGCTTTCCTAACAGCCTTTCTGGCATGGTTGGACGTGCAGGAACAACAGTTCCAGCCAGTGTAGATTGTTGGGTCATTGCGATATGCAAGCCCGACCACCACGTCAAATTAGCATCTATCGGTCGGGGATTCCTCCCATTGTTAGTGATTGGTGCCTGTTGTATTTGGAAGTCGAGTGTGTTCATCACTTCTGTGTTCTCTATGTTCACAAGTAAGACGGTGTGCAGCGACTCCTAGTTTAAGGATAACTAAACAAGTGGTTGGTTATATTGACCACTTTTCTTATATGTGGAGTTGCATCAATCCTAATGGATGAAATGCTGTCGAAATGTCAGCACTTATGTGAATGGATTGTCTGTCATTTACCAATTTGTCATCCTTGGCACAGGTGTTTTATATATGGCTACCCATGAAATAGTGTCTGTACCACACAAAACTTCACTCCGTTCTTCTTTACGACAGTCAGATATGGCAGTTGAAAGTGGGAGATATGTGTGTGCACTAAGCTCCCTCGTATTAGATGGTGTAACACGGTCATTCATAATGAGGTTAGGAATAGCGTGTTAGGTGAGGAGTAAAAGTCAATTAATAGAGTTGTAAAGTTGCATCGATTTAGGTGGCTAGGGCACGTCTTGCTTTTCCCTTGGTTTTCCTTGTTGGTAGATATTAACTGACAAATCGCAATCTGGAATCAAACCATGAAGTCTTTGTTTGTTGGTTTGAGCCTTGTAAGATCTTGTAAACTGTCTGATTGAGTTCGTCGAGACCCTAAGAAGCAATGGATTGCTACTGTTGGTGATGTAGCTAAAATCTGTTTTCGGTGCTTTGCAGTTTTCGACAGTATTAACCTTTGAGAGGAATTGAATCGTCAATATTCTGCAAATAATTATTGGTTTTACCCTACATTTCTGTCCATTGCGGTTGTTTCGGTTGTTTCTTCTCTGGCTGTGGGATGTATCAACCTTAGTTGCTTGATTTTTGTGCAGCTGTTCTACGCTTTGGCTCAGTTTGTCGATTTATGCTTCTTCATTAGTCAAAGCTTCCAGGTAATATTGTTTATATTGGTTTCTTCGCATTAATAAAATTGAAATGTACGCTGTGGTTATTATCATTCATTCCTTGTGTTCCATGTGACTTGTTTTTCCCATAGATGAAAATGATTTGCGTTTGACTTTGTGGTAGGAAATTATCAATTAGGGTACTTACCAATAGATCACGGTTGTTCGATCGTGTGAGTAGTTGCCCACTATGTAGTTAGGTGTGTACCCCATCTACGAGTCTAAACTGAAGATTAAGCAACCTTCCATTGCTGCCTATCTTATGATTCTTCAAATTATACTGTCTTGCGCTTAAAACTGTTTTCAGTTACTATTAAACCACTGTGGCTATTAACTTTCAACAGTATATTTGTGTAAACTTGTGATTTTATATGTACCACTTCGAGTTTTTTTTAACATCTGCTTCGTTCTCTCTATTTTGTAAATTTCTCTGTAGGACGAATAATTGTGTTGGGTTTCATAATCATAAGTACTTTATTGTCTTTTTATCATGGGGTGTGATATACTGCTTTTATATCGTTTGCACGTCAGCATCATATTTTGCAGAATTTTGGACAGTAAGCTCGTATTATTTAAATTTCTCCACACTTAATACTATTCTATGCATGTCTGTTAGTTTAATAAACGCTTATTAATTCTGCTAATTGAAATATATTGAGTGTATTTGTCATTAAAATTCAGCATAATTAGGATGAAGTTCTATGCAAAAAAGGTGGGAGTAAATGAGAAAGTAGATATTTTTATCACAGTTGGAGTCTCTTTACACTCTTGCATTCCTTATGATATCATAATTAAGACATATACATTTAACGGTGGTCATATTGAAATTCGGCTACTGAGTTGAATTGGAGTAATTTATTTCTAATTAGCGTATTATGTTGTTTAGTGCCAGCGTCTGTGTTTTGTCGAGTTTTGCTGTCGATCCCCAAAGAGATCGTAAACAACTATCGGGAATATGGGAAATGTATATCTTGATAATGTTAGTGAAAAGTAAAGAATTATTTTTCATTGGGATAGTAGTATCAATCGGTTAGTTTCAATCACATCCATATTCAATACCTTTCGTCCTTTTATGCCGTAATTATGGAGAACAGTTGAATTTGAAAATTAAGTAGCAGAGTATTGTCATCTTATCTAAGTGCAGGTCGCTAAGGTCATAATGGTCAGAAGAATTCACTGATAAATAACCTTTTTGTGAATAATACGTTCAAAATTTAAAATGCACCCTTAATTAGATTTAAATTCGATTGTAGCAAGTGCTGAAAATGCCGTACTGTATCATTGGTACTGTATTGGAATAATAATAATTATTATTTCCTTTAATTCCTAGAGGAACATAGGGCTTCAGCCGCGCGTCTACATTGCGTTCGGTTTTCTGCCAACTTTTCACCCCGCTCCAAGTCTGCCCACATGCTTTCATCTCCTCTTCACATGACCTCCTCCAAGTCACCCTTGGACGACCAACTCGCCGCCTCCCTTTCGGGTTCCACTCGAGGGCTTGTCTAGTGATGTCACTTGATGGTTTCCTCAGCGTGTGGCCAATCCATCTCCATTTATTCCTGCCTATTTGTTTCACAATCAGTTCCTGGTTGGTTCTCTCATTGCCAGAGATCCCTGTTGCTGATCTTTTCTGGCCGGCCATCTGATCTTGAGTATTGAACGAAGACAGCCGTTAATGAAGGTCTGAAGTTTGTTTTAGATGCTCTTTATGACTCGCCAAGTCTCTGATCCGTATAGAAGCACTGACTTTACATTGGAGTTGAAAATCCGGATCTTATTTTTGATTCTGAGTGCTGTTGACCTCCACACAGATTTGAGAGTAATGAAAGCTTGTCTTGCTTTTCCGATTCTGGCTTTGATATCCTCGTCAGTTCCGCCTGTAGTTGAAACGATGCTTCCTAGGTAGGTGAAGGAGGTTGTTTCTTTCAGGTTCCTCCCATTCATGCTGGCTGATTGTTGTCTGTTGTTGTTGTTGATGTTGGCCAGGAATCTTCATCACCTACCTCTGTTTTCTCTATGTTCACTTGAAGTCCTATCTTTGATGCTTCTTCTGCCAACTTGTTGCTTTTCACTTGCATATCTTCCGGTTTGTGGGAAATCAGACATATATCATCGGCGAAGTCCAGATCCTCCAAGTATTTTGTGTGAGTCCATTTTATGCTTGTTTTCTCATCGCCCGTTGTCTGTCGTATTATCCAATCTACTGCAATCAGGAAAATCATTGGCGATATTATGTAGCCTTGTCTCACTCCTGTCCTCACTTCGAAGGCTTCCGTAAGTTTCCCGTTGTGGATTACTTGGCATGCAGCATTGTCTTACAACTGTTGGATGAGATGTATAATTGTCGATGGGACCCCGTAGTAGCGAAGTAGTTGCCAAATCACCTCTCGATCGACGCTGTTGAAGTCCTTTTCAAAGTCGATGAAGTTGAGATAGAGAGGTGACTTCCATTGCAAGCTTTGTTCAATGATGATCCGTAGAGTGGCGATTTGATCAATACATGATTTGTTTCTCCTGAATCCGGCCTGTTCCGGTCGAAGTTTATCATCTAGGGCTTGTTTGATTCTCTCCAGGATGATTCGGCTTAGTATCTTGCTTGGAATGGACAGAAGCATAATTCCACGCCAGTTTTTACATTGACTTAAGTCTCCTTTCTTTGGTAGTTTGAATAAGTATCCGTTCTTCCAATCCTCGGGTACTTTGCCCTCTTTCCACACCTTCTCCAGCAGTGGCGTCATCAAGTCCGCTGTTGTCTCGGGGTCTATTTTCAATGCTTCTGCTGGGATTCCATCTTGTCCCGCTGCTTTTCCAGCTTTTAGCATCTTTGTTGCATTCAGGACTTCTGATTTCGTCGGGAGTTGATGTTCACTGGTAGTTCTGCTTCCGTTGTTGGTATTGTTGGGCACGTTGTAGGTGGCGGACGATTTAGAAGTCTTTTGAAGTGTTCAGCCCAGTGTTTTCTTTGCTCCACTTCTTTGGTGATTGACTTTACATTGTCATCCTTTACTGGCTTAATCTGTGTCGAACTTTTGCCCGAAAGGTGCCTAGTTGTTTGGTAGAGTGTGGCGAGGTCTCCTTTGCCTGCAGCTTGTTCTGCTTCACTTGACATGGCTTCAAAATATTTTCTTTCGTCTTCCCTGGCACTCTTCTTCACTCTTTTGTTGAGTGTATTGTAGCTTGCATTCAGCTCCTGTTTTTGTTGCTCGTCAGTGCACTGGATAATCTTTTGTTTCACCATCCTTCTCTCTTCTATTAGCCACTGTTTCTCTTGTCTCTTTTTCCTGTCTAGAACTTCCATGCAGGTTTGACTCCATACCGTTTTCAAGTTGTTCCAGTGCTTTTCGACGCTGACCTCTTCGCTAGTGTTGATTTGTGTCTCGGCTTTGTCCCTTATGCTTGCAATGAAGATGTCCTTTGTAGACTTGTCCTTCAGCTTTTGAGTGTTGAACTTGGCTTGTGGTCTATCTGCAGCTCCTGATTCCCTGAAAGCTTTTAATTTGATTTGGATTGTCCCTTGTACGAGATAGTGGTCTGAGCCAACGTCTGCTCCTCTTCTTGCTTTTGTGTCCGGTAGGCTGCACCTCCACTTCCTTGAGAGCATTGAGATGAAGTCAATTTGGTTTTTGGTTTGCCCGTCTGGTGACACCCATGTAGCCTTGTGGATATCTTTGTGCTTGTGTACACTACCACCAATCACTAGTTCGTTGAAGGCGCAGAAGTCGGCGGAGAGTTCTCCGTTTTCATTCATTTCTCCAAGAGCTTCTCTACCCATGATGAGTTCCCTTCCTGTGTTGTCTGGTCCCAGTTTGGCGTTCATGTCTCCCATTAGTATTTTAATGTCACCAGCTGAAGTATTGTCCATTGTTGGCTGTAGTTGTCTGTAGAATCCTTCTTTCTTTTCGAGGTCTGCGTTGTTTGTGGGTGCATAACATTGTATGATTGACACTTTCCTTCCTTTAGAGTTGAATCTGGTGGTCATTATCCTGGGCGAGATCATCTCCTATTGCATCAGAGCCTTCGTTTCCGTTGGTGACATTATGATAGCTACGCCCTCGGTGTGCATGTGGTTATCTTCTGGGTGACCAGAGTAGATCACTGACTCACCCTTTGACAATTTGGTGAGTCCATTCTCGTTCCATCTGCTTTCACATATCCCCAGTACTTGAATTCCGTATCTTTGGCATAATGCAAATTATTACTATTGTTGAAAGAGTAAAGTAAGGTCAACACTCTCTTAACAGTTCCTTTTTTATGATTTATTATACGGTTTACCGGCTCTGAATGTCAATATGGTTTGATCAACTAATAAGACATTTTAGAACCGTGGTATTTTTTGGTTTAATTTTCTAAAGTGATGGCTATATTTGTGAAGTGATTGATTGATTTGAAGAAAAATACAAAAGGTGTAATTAACTGCTTGAAACTTCATACTGAGATAAACTAGTTGTTTTGGGATTCAGTTGCCTGAATAAGTGTATATTGTTTTACAGACAGTATATGTGTAAAACTTGGGCACTGTGGTAGTAAGTAATTCCATATTAGTTTGTTTATTAGATGTATCACACACACACACACACACACACACTGAAACAGTATTATTTAGATTATCTAATACCCTGCAATGAATGTCAGGTCAAATACATAGGTCAAACTAGTAGAACAGGGGCAGTCAGACTAGCCGAACATAAAAACCTAGCAAAATCTAGATTGGTTGGCCGGAATAAGATAAGAAATCTAGAGAACAGTTCAGCTATAGGCACTCACTACATGCAGTTACACATAACCATACAATAGTATGGGATAGGATGACAGTTTTAAAATCTAATGTCACAGGGTGGAGGGAGAGATTGATAACAGAAGCTTTGTTTACCGAATCAACTGCAGATACATATAATAGGAATGATTCAACACCTGTCCCAGATATCTGGAAAATTCTACGACCCCTACGACAAATAGGAGAGGACAAAGGAAACTATAGAACTCAAGTTTCGAAGTCGTGTGATTATAATTGATATTATTATGCACAATAAATCTTGTTCGAAACGTCATCCAGTAAATAATACTGTTTCACTCTGTGAAAAATTCAATAAACAAACTAATATGGAACTTTACAGACAAGTAGTTTCGTTCTTTGCACAACTTAGCATTAGATTAAGATTATGGTTACCGTAGGTAGCAGTTACAGATGCCATATAAGGCTTCATGAACATAGGACTTCCGAAAGAGGTGTATTTCTCCAAGCTATCGCAGTATGTGGAACCACATAAAAGTCAATAAATGCTAAACAACTTTAGAAATAATAACTAGTAAGTTAAAAAATATTGATGAGGTATTCAGAGCGTCGAAGCTAGTACACAAATGAAATTCTCTTTTTCTGACCACATTATTAAGAGTCTAATCACTAATACTCTAGTAGTGCCTAGATAATCCCCGTTAATTATCCTGTACTTCGTGATGCAATTCATTTCAGTGTTTTTTAACTCCTTGGATTTCCACTGTATTAAAATTTAGTCACTCTTAATACTCTGTCATTCAAATCCTGCTCAAGTGTTCTGGTTGTCACTGGCCAAAGTGCTGGTGCATTTCACATATAATAAATGCTGAATAATTGACTAATGCATTGCCATTTGTTTATTATTTACATCTATCATACATAATTTTGACTTTCAGTCTGCAAACAATTTCTCGGTTGACCGATTTCAAGTTCTGTTCGTTTTTATTGTGGCTGTTATGTTTGGTCTTTGTCAGCTTGGCTTATGCGCATATCATTTGTATCTAGTTGGAGTTAATCAATCCACGTTAGGTAAGAAATTCATCTGAAAGTGCCAATTGTAACACGTATTTTTATCTTAATAAAAAGAAAAAGCTAATTCAGTTTTAAAATGTCTTGTTGGAAGAAATTATTTATTTTTGCATATTTCCTCATATGGGAAAATGTATACCATTATATATCATTAGAAATTTGCATTTTCTGGTGAATGACAATCAAAACAAAGTTGCTTTTACTTACATCTTGCTTTTAATGCTAATAGCTATATGAAAGTGGTAGTAAACCAGGATTTACAAATTCAGCTATTCTATGATATCTCGATCAGTTTTCTTTTGTAAAGGAAATCATTTGATAGAGATAAAAATACATGTTCTTATTGTCAAATTTGCTGAGTGTATGTGAATTATAAAAACGGCAAGTGTAGTGTAAAATTCTTATTATGTTTTGTGTTCTCTGTGTTAGCTTGTGCAGACTGGGTGTTGGAGCCAGGTCTTAATCTTTTTTCTTCAAATGATTTGAATTCTTTTTTGTGTGAACTGCTTCTACTATGAGTCGTTTTTTATGGTTTCAAGAAATTCTGAATATCAGTCACTTTTGAGGCCTGATATTTTAAGTTCTCTTAGACTTCTTGATGGTCAAGTAAGCGCCCTGCAGCGTTTATTCTTTCTGACCTTCATATCTCCATAAGTTTGCCTGATGTATATTGCATCTTAGTTTAAACATTTTATCTTGTAGACAAAATCAGATTGTGAATCCTTCGGTATTTTGTCATTTGTGTGAACAGGATTGTTTTTAGTATGTTTGGTTTTCTGACGCTGACGTTGCATTTCTTAGGTATTTTTCTAGTCTGCTTGATGAATTCGAGATACCTAGAATAATTGGTTACAGAGTTTCATCATGAGCTGACATTGGAAGGAACCATTGGAAGACCTGGAAGTACTTGGTAGCTGTTTCATCTTAGTTTGGGACTCTTCATCAGTACACACCAGAAGTTGGAATTCATGGACCATTGGATTGGGTCCCAGTGGCTTAATGGTCTACGAGCTCGCCTTGTAACGAGTAGGTTATGGGTTTGAACCTCGGTGGGTGCATACCGCCGAAGAGTCTCAAACTAGGACGAAACAGCTGTCCAGTACTCCCAGGATTCCTAATGGTTTTCTAACCAGTGTCAGCTCATGATGAAAACCTGTAGGCAATCAATCAAAATCCTTACAAACCAATACCTAGAGTAATGTTTGCTGTAGTTCTTAATTTCGAATTACTTTCTTCGTCAAGGTTAGTGTTCTTTACGTTTTGCCTAGAATTTCTCGAAGAGTTAATAATTTTCTTGCAGTTTCGTTCATCTGCTCTACTTCGCCTCCGAAGTGTGTTCTTAGAAAACTGGAAATACCTCTATAAGGACTCTAAAGTCAAGTGTTCATATTGTAACGACAGAAGAGAAGGGCCAGGCAACAAATCGTTTATTTAGGAAATCAACAGATATTTGTAGATTTTCATGTACATTATTATAGATTGTTAGCAAACAAGCATGGTCTTCTGATTGGTGGTTTCTCTCTGAACGTTAATCTTCCATCTCTTTGTGACCGTTGCTTGAAGTTCAGATTATCTATCTGCGAATTGTAGCCGCCTACGTAAAGTCTGCTGTGATTGATTGTTGAGTAAGTCTTTGTTCTTACTTTTCTCATGACCAATATTGAGGACGTAAACATTGACGTAAATTACTGTCTACCAATTTTGTGTGGCAGACAGCTCCCATCACAATATGAGTGTATTGTATTCCACAATAGAAACATAATGAGACGTCCATTATCCTTCCGCCTAAGTAATGAGTCTACCAAGGTATCTGCTGTCTAATTTTGAAGTAAACTTTATGTTGAACGAATAATTCTTCAATTTCCCCCTGAATTGGTAGTATGTTTCATTTTAACACCGAAAAAGTTGTCATCATTAATGTACCTTCGTCACATTTTTCTTCTCTGTTCAAGAAAATATTATCAAATATATTCCTGAATAGATTTGACTGACTGGTTTCAACATAGAACTTTGCACCAATGTGCACCATTTCAAGTCGCCACACTCCTTGCAGCACACAAACCAAGAGACGACAGTAGTAGAAATGCGAAATAGAGACAGTCAACAGCGATATAAGGCAAGTCCACACCTTCCTACGTGGCTTAAACTAACTGTCATCGGTTTCATTGACTGATGCCATGTTTTGGTTTGACCACCACTAGCTCTTTTCTAGCCTGACCCTATGTCAGCTAAGATTTCCCGTCGAGGGAAGCGATGGCTGGGCATACGTAACACATGTCCTAACCATCTCAGTCGATGTAGCTTCACGGCCTCGTTTATTGATTTCCCCCTCCTTACCCAGCATTCGACGCCTAACATCAATATTTCTCACCTTATTACACTACCTAACACGGGAGGTAGAACGCAGGCACCTATGATCAAAGACAGCTAGCCTTTCATTTCTTCCACTCTCAATGGCCAGATCTCACTCACAGCCATAAGGGAAGACAGAGAGGACTGTTGAGCAGTACACACGTCCTTTGGTCGATAGCCGGATATCACGTTTACGCCAGAGATGGCGTAAACTGGCATATGCGAAACGAGCCTTATGTATCCGTGCTGAGATTTCGTCAGCGATCAATTCCCAGACACTGCCTAGTACCTTAGTTAACACAGACTGTAAACTGTCTCCACCGTAATTAAATACCCCTGGAGCCATTCCATCAGGTCCTGCTGCTCTGTCTCGTTTCAGACTAGTGACAGCCTTAGTAACCTCAATTAGGGACGGTGGACCTGTATTTATATCCCATTCCGAGGGGGGGGTGAGGTGTTGGATGTTTGTTAATTTGAGCGTGGCTGTAGACCGATTAAACTGCTTCTTAAAGTGTTCTTTCCAGCGTTCCAGTCGTCTGTCCTGGGAGCTAATTATGGTGCCATTTTTCTCAGGGATTGTTTCACTTATCGTCTGCCTTTTGCCATCTGTTTCCCTGGTGGGCCTAAACAGTTGTTTGGTCTTACCGATCGGCGATGCCTTTTCCACCTTTTTTTGCTTTTTTCGCCCACCACTGTTCACGGTCGTTTCGGAGGCTGCTTGCTAGTTTGCGTTTGAGTAGCTTTCGCTCCTCATCATAATCAGAGCTCGCGGATATCAGTGTTCTAGCGTCAATCAGTTCGGATGCGGCGGTAGAGATCCAATGGCTCTTACTAACTTTTGGTTTTAGGTCATTAACAGCTTTTACAGCTGTGTCTGTCTGTCTGTTTTCGACATAGAACTTTGCACAAATGTGCGGAAGTTCAAGTCGCCACACTCCGTGTAGCACGCGAAGCAAGAGAAGAAAGTACAAGAAAAGCATAATCTGAACAGTGAGCAGAGGTGTGAGACAAAGGAGTAATAAGGAAAAACAAAACAGTTTCACTGGAGATCATAAGTCACAAGGAGTGGATGTATCTGCGCCACTGAGAACGATTTTGAGCCATGTCACCAATTGTTTCCAACCATAGATTTTTACCGTCCCTGTGTCTACAGCTAAGTGTATGTTGTGCCAGCGTCTCGATCTAATTGGGGACGGAAGTGCTTCGCTGCCGACAATTTTCTATGTCCGTTTAGACGTGAGGATAAACGTGCTTGAACCAGTGCGTGATCGGTGTCCGCGAACGTGATCCAGAAGGATGGTTATTCTACCACAACACCATTGATCTATCTATTTAAATTTCATCTAAATATCATCAGTTTCCAGACAGAATTTTAATGCTATAATGGTCTTATTGGTGTTTATTGGACGTTTTTCTAATATAAGTTTATCTGATTCCTGGAAACTGGAAATCACATGAAGATTTCGATAATAGGAATGGTTTCATCCTTGTTAAGTTCCAGTTTTTCTTTTCTGGATTTAAATTTGAGTGAATCCTATGTTGTGTGCTTTTGTGGAGGTTTTAGTGCTGAGTATCCGTCATCAGAGATATTGTATGTAGGTCAGTTGGTAAATTCCACTTATTATCGTAATGACACTGAAGAGTTTTATACCGTCGGTTGACTGTGGAATCTGAAGGGTTAGACTTCTATTTTCAAGTAAAAGAGGTTCCCAATTTCAGGTTTCAGTTTCAGCTCCATCTTGTTAATTTCAGCGGGCTACTTTTTCTTCAGTAGACAAATGTGTGCTATTCTGCTGGATCCATGATTGACGAAACTCCCATCTTTTACTCACACGATCTCCATATCGCCCCAGGACGACTCACTTGTCACTTCCCGTTTGCGTTCCACGCGAGAAATGGCCTGGTGTGCAATGTCATTCGATGGTCTCCTCAACGTATGCCCTATCCATCTATATTTTCTCCTTCATATTTGTTGAGCTCTTGGTTGGTTGGTTATCTTCATCACCTCCATCTTCTCTATGTTCACCTGGAGTCCTGTCTTCGCTGCCTACCTCTCCCGCCAGTTCGTTGGTTTTCGCCTGCAAGTCTTCGTGTTTGTTTGACATTAGACATATATCATCCGCGCGCGAAATCCAGATCTTATAGAGTCTTCTCATTGGTGGTTCAACGTATTCCTGTCTCCTTTCTCCCTGTGCACAGTCTTCTGCCTAATCCAGTCCACCACAATCGAGAATATCATTGGTGATAATAGGCGGCCAGTTTGTTTTACTCCGGTGTTCACTTCAGAGCCTTCGCTAAGTGAGTTTTCCACTGTGGATCACGTGAAACGTGGCATTGTCATATAGCCATCTGTTGAATGAGGTTGATTAACACTTGAAGTACGCCGTAATGTTGAAGTAGTTTCCAAATAAACTCTCGGTCAAATCTGTCGAAGGCCTTTTTGAAGTCGATGAAGTTGAGGTGGAGGTTTGACTACCATTCTCTGCTTTGTTCGACGATGATAATAATGATGTACAGAGTTGCGATTTGATCAGCACATGATTTGTCTTTCCTGAATCCAGCTTGTTCAGGTTGACGGAGATCTGTATCCACTGCACCTTTTTTTCTCTCTAGGATGACGCGACTTAGTATTTTGCTTGGGGTGGACA